CAAAAACATAATATATGAATTTAGAATGTCAAATTGATCGAATTGAATCTATTTTATCGAATCGTAAAATTATTCAACACCTTACTTCGATGTTTTATATTCTAAAAAATGGTTCTATAGTATAACCTATAAAAATATAATAATGTACATTCGTCATGATCATGTCCGTAAAAAAGGTATTATCTCATTATCTCGACACTTAAAAAAATCTATCATTTTGATTTAACGATATAAATTATATTCAAAAACAAATATATTATATTAAACTCTAAAAATAATAATAAAATTATTTAAAATTTATATATATATATAGAAGTCCGCGCGATGCACACAAGTTTATATCTAGATAAAAAATCAGACTATGAAAGATATATCATAAATGAAAAACTAAGTCATCTCCTTCATCATAAAATCAAATAATTTATAGCGGACTATGAATCAGATGAACTAAATTAGGATGAAAAGAAAGTCCGCGCGATGCGCGCGGGTTATTACCTAGTTATTTATTAATGTCTCACTTATTCTTTTCAATGCACCATAACCTAAATTATTTATTACTATTGCCACTAATCGTAGGGGTGTAAAATGAGCGGGTCGGGCTGGGTTCGGGTCGGGCTTAGTTTGGGCTTAGGTTTTTCGGGACGGACCGGCCCGTCCATTTATTTTTCGGGCCGGATTTTTTCTATTTAATAAAAAAATAAATATTAATATATAATAATAATAATAATAATAATTTAACAATTTTAAAAAAACAATAGTAAATTTCCATCCATATCAATTATAATTAAAAAGATTAAAATATAAAAAATAATCATGTAAAATTTAAAATATATAAATTATATAATATTTTTAATATATATAATATATGAAAAATATATTCGGTACAATAAAAAGTATAGAAAAACATTGAGATGGAATTTAAAAATCATAGTTAAACTCATAAAATATATATAAATATATATATATATATATAAATTAATTAAACCAAAATCTAATCAAACTGTTTAATAATATATATATATATATATGTATATAATATAAGTTTAGTATATATTAATCAAATTGCTTTGAAATATAAATATATATATATATAAATAAAACATACAAATAAAAGTTTATATATAATGTTGTGTGATATTAAATCTCAAATGAAAGTAAAAATCTAATAATATAATATTTTTTCGGGTTAAATGGGCGGGTCAGGCGGGTTTCAGATCGGACTCGATTCGACCCTAACTTTTTTCGGACCGGTCCGACCCGCCCATTTATTTACGGGTCTATATTATTAGGCCAAAGCCCTTAATGTTTCGGGCGGGTTTCGGACCGGGCTTCGAACTTCGGGTTCTATTGACACCCCTAACTAACCGTTACAATATGATATAACATATTCATTAAAATTATAATTTACTATTCCTAAAAAGAGTTTATACAAAAACAAATCGGGGTAAAAGTGAACCAATCCTTTATTACATGATTCATTTAAACAAAAGAGAGGGAATTATATTTTTCAATTGGTCAATATTAGAAATAAGTATATATATTCCCAATTGTCTATTTTCTACGAATGTTTGTTACATGATTCTTTTACAATTCCATTTCAAATAAGATACATACATATATAAATATTTCACTCATATATATATATATATATATATATACAGTAGACGGTTTCTTTCCGTGCTCATTAATCATATTTATTAGAAAACAAAATAGTTATTAAGATATCAATAATTAGATATCGTTTCAATACACCACAATCTAAAATATTTATTAATATTACAATTTGCAAAGCATCCTATCCCTCCCTTCTACTGTTATCACATTCAAACCTATACCAACTTTGGACAAATACATATGGACATTGTATATAGAGCAGGATTTCACAATGCAAATTACCGTCCAATACCAAATCAATCACAATCGTTGATTATATTAAACTCCATCATCCTATCATAGTTTAGGATACTTACCATTCAGCCTTCTGCGGCTCACTTCAGCAAACCCAAAAAGAGTATCTTCTGGATCAGTCTCGACAATTCTTTTACAGAAAAGAGACAAATCCGATCAATACATTTTCAGTTTGAACGCAGAAAATGACATTTACAAAGAAAAAAGGTGCATTCAAACTAAATAATGAACTCCTATCATTTGTCAAAAAATAAATAAATAATGAACTATATTTCAAGCAGAAGTTGAAAAAGAACAAAAAAAAAACATGGAAAACTTCAATAGGTACTGATTCTCAATGTCAACGTCATGTTCTTCCTCCTCGTCGGAGTATTCAAATCCTTAATCTTCCATATCAGCATCTGCAAAAAAAATCAAAAAGTTCGGAAAACACTTTCCAACAAAAAGGGAAAAACCTAAAAATAACAGCATCATGATAATCTATCAGAAATTCGAAGGGCCCTATTTCATCCATAACACGACGGAGGATTCAAAATCTAAAGATGAAGCCATTATGATTGTTCAAAAGGAAAAGCCTGAAACAGGACTGAAGATGGAAGTTTCAGATATCGACGGTGAACCCAGGAACCAAAGAGATAGCGTATCAGGAGCTCGAAGAAACAACCATTGAATCTATTTTATCGAATCGTAAAATTATTCAACACCTTACTTCGATGAGGATCTGCTCTTCACTCCGTTTTTTTATCCTTCTAGAAGCTGTGATTTGATATTGGGCCAAGTGAAATAACAAAAATATTAAAGAATATATATATATATATATATATATATATATATATATTTAAAAACTGTTATAAAAAAAACATTATTTGACCAAAACCTGTAACATGGTTAAGTATAACCAAAGTGTAGAGTTCTCATTTTTTCCACGTAAGACAATATAGATACAAAAGAAGTATTATGATAAGAATAAGAAGAATATTTTTACAATCTTGGCAAAGTCTGTAACAAATAAATCTCTACAAACAACAAAAATATAATATTTTTCTCTCTTTTTCATGAACCCAGAAAAAATTGTGATGTATATTTTGGTTTAAAAATAGAAAGGCTCAGTCACATATAGAACACTAAGAAGAAGGAAAAAGAATACAAACAATCCTACAAAAATATAAGATTTAAAAAAACTAACAAAAAAAATTGATATTAAAATGTTACACGGCTGATGTATCGAATACCACGTTTGACATGACAAGGAGCTCTGCATCCCTCTCCGTTATTTGATTTTTTTAGTTGCTTTTATTGAGTATATATCTCTGTGTAGAATTCAATTTATTAAATATGGTTATTAGTGGGTATTGAATACCACGTTTTTTAGTCTTCCGTTTTCAATTTTAATTTTTTAAATGTTGTAGTCACTAAATATACCTTAACATAAAATATTATCATTTAACTTCAATACACCCTAATATAAATATTTATTAATATCCATAATAACCAATTCGATATGATGACTTTTCAGTATACCATAACATTTTTCATTTAATTACATTTATTTTGATTGACATTAAATCAAATCCCACTAACATATGACGGTTTTGCATTTACTTTTAAAATGCATCTTTATAATTTTAAAATCTTATTTGAATTTGTAATTGTTGTAATATTAAAATATTTATTGAAAATTTAATTATTTTTATATTCAAATTATATTGACAAATGTATATAATTCTATTATAAAAAAAATTTCAATATGTTGAGATGACCTCATCATTTTTGTATATAATTATAATATAAAAATTATTTTCAATATATAAATTTAAAAGTAAAATGAGTGTTTACACGATAAAGTTAATATTTGTTATTTTAAAATTATAATAATATAAATCTATTTTTCATGTCTAATAATTAGTGGTAATCTAATCATAATTACTAAGGATTTTATTAACAAAATAAATAAAATAAATACCACATGGATAATGATATGGATGCTTAGGTGTCCTCACCACAATCCTTTAAACTCCTTTATTAATATATATAGATTTTAATGTCTTTTAAGTTAAACATATTGAATTAATTTTAATTATAGTGACGTATATTCATATGCATTATACTATTAAGAATCAATGTCATTATTGATTTGAATTAATGAGAAATTAATGATATAAATATTTAGGAGAAAACGATGCAATCAATTAAAATTCGTCAAAAGATTCAGTTAATATTGACATTTTTTTCAGTATCTCTACAGCCATCTTTATGTTCCCTGTATTCAATATCTTGAAATATTTAATTTCCCTAATTTTACTAATTACATTGATTCCCACTGTCATCTATATATTCAGGGAGATCTAACGAGCCCATCATCATCATCATCATCATCATCATCATAGTCATGTAAATCGAGAGAGAAACAAAGGGCCTCAAGGGTCTATACTTGGACGGAGAAATTGTCAACTCTGGTGAGGAAGAAAACTCCCCAATCCGACAAGTAGTTCTCACAGTTTTGACAACAGATGATCCATCGTTGTCAGTTATGACATTTAGGATCTGGGTATTAAGATTTGTGTTGTGTATAGTGTTGTCGTTTCTGAATCATTAATCTTCTGGTACAGAACACAGCCTCTCACCGTATCCGTCTCTCTGCTCAAATCGTCGTCGTCTCTCTCACATGTGTCATGGTGACGAAGGTCTTCAACAAGGTTTTCTTCAGGGGCTCCACACAGGAATTCTCTCTCAAACCTGGTAATTAACCAAATTCAACATTTCCCATACTCATCTCATGAGATTGATATTTTTCAAAGTTTTACCACATGGATAATGATATGGATGCTTAGGTGTCCTCACCACAATCCTTTAAACTCCTTTATTAATATATATATATAGATTTATAAAAATATATGTGTCATTACTTTCTTTTATCTTTATCAGTTTCATTAATTTACAGCTTAAAAATAAATATGTATAGTGCGATATAATATTTAAATTTAGGATGCTGAAAATATATCAACACGATCTATATATTACAATAAAATATTTAAAAGTAGGATTTATATAGTGATACAAAAAAAAGGATGCACTTTACATAATATGGGATCTTCATCATATCCACATTTTAATCACAAAAAACAATCCACAGTTTCCTTAGCAAACTTGAAAAATGTTATGAAATATTTTCGAACAATCATTTCCTAACTCTTTAGCCATTCACAGAAAACAAAATGGATTATCCAAAAGTTTACATTGCAAACATTCACATTTTTTCTATACACCCAAATTAAAAAAAAGAACAAAACCAAAACATCTATCTAGAACTTGGATGAATTCTGAGAGTACCTTCCGTTTCGGCCGACTCGGAGCCGAGACCGAGTCAGCCCGTTCGAGTCCCAGTCGAGTGACTCGCCGTCGTCGTCTTCATCGGTTGGAACTCTCTCTTTCATCACCTGTAGAATCTTCTTCGCCTTCTCTCTAGCTCTCTCCGTCCCTCTCTCTTCTATCTCCTTCAACGCGTCCACCGCACGCGCCTCCCTCGCAAGCCCCTTGAACCGGAGATTCTCGTGGCTCAACGCGAACAAAGCCGCGACGCAGTTCTCATGAGCCGACGCAGACGCAGGTGAATCCTCCCGGAGTTTCCCGACGAGAATCGAGACTGCGTTCGCGTCCAGCATTGCGGATCTGCCCTCGCTGCAGCAAGCCAAGTTGCAGATAACGAGGAGAGCTCGACTCGCTGACTCGCCGGATCGTACCATGGTGAGAAGAGTCGGGATGGCTCCGAGTCGGACGAGTTTGGATCGGTTGGTTTGGTTCAGCGAGAGGTGGTAGAGAGCGAGAGCCGAGTCGTGGCGAGTCCGGTCGCTCTCGGCGGCGCGAAGCGCGTGGAGCAATGGCTGAAGCGCTCCGAGGACTCCGATCGGCATCTTGTTGTCATCGTCGAGTGCGAGACTGAAAATTGCTCCTGCGGAGTGTTCTTGAGCCTCTCTGGATCCAGATTTCAGGACATCGATCAGCAGAGGAATAAACCCTGATCGCACGATCGTGACCTTGTTCTTCTTTTCCAGCGACAAATTCACCAGCGAGGCCATCGAGTTTGTCTGAACGAGACTGTACCTCGAAACAATCATGCTCTTGAGAAAGGAGAGGATCCGAGGAGTACAGAGCAAAACCCTCGTCTCCTGTTTGGTTCGGGTCATCTTCCTCATCATAACCAGACCTTGCTCCTGATCGAAAATGTCAGGGCACTTGAGCTTGTTGTAGATCTCTTCCTCCTCAGAAGACGTTGGAGCTGAATTCGTAGAGGAAGAAGAAGAGGAGAAGAAATTGTGCTGCGTTAGGGTTTCGATTTCAGCAAACATGTCCGATGAAGATGACGACGGTGAGGGAGAGAAGCAAGCGGGTCGGGTCGCGAGAGGCAGAGGAGTGAACGGACTATGAGCGACGATCACAGATTCGCCCGACGAGTCAGAGGAATGGAAATCTCCCGCCGTCGTCCGCCATGGCCGTTCCATGACCTCGGAATCAGCGTGATGGATCGTCGCCGGCGCGGGAGGTCGCTCTGCCACCGCCCGGAGAAGCTCCTGCTCGGAGACACGAATCTCGGGCTCCATCGGCATCCACAGCCGCAACATCCCCTCGATGGCTGAATACTCCGGCCGCCGCGGCGGATCGACGCCGACTTGCTTGCACCAAGCGTCAATGGTGGATTTCATGTTCAGATTGGGGATTACGTTGGAGAAATCCGGTTGTGAGCCATCGTCCAGCTCGGGGACAAAGCCAAGGTTGAGGCAGACTTGGACACAGACCCGCTCGAAGGTTTGACCCGAAGAGACAACAACTGGGTCGGACATCAACGACCCAGTAATCGGACAGAGGAATTCTCTGGGTGGTATCTGCAGGTTCTGGTTCTGGTTCTGGTTCCGCTGCTCTGGCTGTCTCCCTGAAGACGATGCTGAAGAAGATGATCGGTGGTGAAATGGGTTCCATCTGATCCGTCCATTGCCACCCATCTGCAAAATCAACTGTCTGAAACCGGTAAGAATGTAATCTTCGACAATTTAGTGATAATTTCCCCAAACTTCGAGAGAATTTGGGTGTTTCAATCCATTTTTGCTTCTATCTTTGATAAATTTGGGGTTCTGAAGATAAAGAAAAGAAAAAAGGGCTCGGGTTTCTGCCGCTGAGCTTTTTCGCTTGTTACTGACTTTTTCTCCGCTTCTCGTGGTAGATTCAATTTGAGTTTCGATTTTTTAAATACATATATTTTTTTTAGTTTGACCATAAATTATTTGTACGTTTTGGTAATTTTCGTGGGTTGTTGCGTGCGTGAGGAAAGAAAGCTCCCGTGTTTGGCCGATGAACAAAACCTGTTTGGGAATGTATGTGATTAAAAAAAAAAACCATTTTATATTTCGGGATGTAAATTTACTAAATTTAATAGGATTTTTGTTTAGGCTGATTTAAATGCGAACGCTATTTTAAATGATTAATTTGGAATATTTTGTTTAATGTTCGGAGCAAAGACCAGGTTATGCTTACTCCAAATGAAACCTTCTAAAAATAAAATTTAAACACGATTACAGCTAATTATTATTAGTTTATAGGGATACTTAAATGTCTGTTTAAATAAACAATGAAAGAAAAAACTTAGTATTTGATAAGTAAGAACGATATATATATATATATATGTAGAAACGTCGCATTTCCTATTGGCTTATGGTCCTTTGGAAAAATCCCAAAATTCAATTGCAATTCTTGGTCAACGCGTTGACCTCCATGAAATCTTTCGTTAGGAGCCTTTGTTTTATTTGATCATATACTCTGAAATATTAGATAGTAAACGGTAATTTTCATCGAAATTTCTAAATTAGTATTAAAATTTTAATTTTAATGGTCTCCAGGATTATAAATTAGGAAAATATAATTAAAAGACCAACAAATAGATATGTCAAAATTTGGGGATTTAGGATTTTGGTTGGTCAATTTCGTTTGAAATCGATCCGATATCGGAACATATTTAAACGAAAACAATACAATAAATATATGTTTTCAGTATATTCATTTAAACTTATTAGAGGTGTATCTTTGTCCTAAAAAATATGAAAACATATTTTAAAATACAACCTCTTAAAATATAGTTATTGAAAATAAACTAAAAATATAATTGAATAGTTATAGTTAATTATTTGTGTATAATATTTTTAATGTATATTAAATATTTAAAAAAAATTAAATTGTTTTCTCAATTTCTCATTATACAAGGTTATTGTAAAAGTCCCAACACGCCGGAGATGAACTTACCCAGTCAGATAGGATTTGTTTATGATCCGCTCATTTCAGAAAAATTGTTTGCTTGCGGTAGAAATAATGGCAAATTATCACCAAGTCGGGACTTCGAAAAGGGCCACCATCAAAGTGGAAATTGCCAAGGCTTACGGCACCATTTCATGGGACTTTGTGAGCGGACACTGTTGGTCCACTGTCTCTTTATCTCTTCGTGTTGGCGATGAATATTCTCACCTTTCACGGGAGAACTGAATGACTCGGAAAAAGAATGTTTGGCTAGCGGCATCGCAATTAAGGACTTGCTAGTAAGATACTTAGGGTTTCCGCTTATCACAAGGAAACTACGTCTCTATGACTTCACACCTCTCATAGACCACATCAGGACTCGGATGCAATCTTGGACGGTCATAGCACTCTCCTACGCAGGTCGGTATCAATTACTCTCCTCTATCATTTCAGGCATAGTAGACTATTAGTTGACGATATACATCCTCCCAAAACAATGTATTCGCCAAATCAATTCCATGTGCGCGTCGTTTCTTTGGAAAGGAACTTCGGAAAACAACCAAGGACAACTCCTAAAGCGGAAGGAGGTCTTGGTCTAAGGAATATTACAGATTGGAATAAGATATCTGGCTCGAAACTTATTTGACATATCTTCTTCAATGCAGTATCATTATATATGGGTTGCTTGGGTCAAGGGTTGTTCCTGGTTACTAAACCCTCTCAGACAACATTCTTGGATCTTTAAAAAGATCCTGAAACTTCGGCAAAGAGCAAACTCCCTCCTCCATATCAGATTAGGAGACGATCGTATGGTTCAACTTTTAGTCCCCTTTGGCCAGTTAATTGACTTCCTTGGATCATCGAGATCCTTGCATCTTGGAATTCATAAGCGAGCTTGGGTTTTAGAAGTGCGTCGAAACGGGATCTGGAATCTTCCGGCTTCTCACACAGAAGAGCTCACTCATCTTACCTTTCCCTTACTACATTTTCAGATTCCAATTAGGAAGATAGATAACGATAAGGAGAAAATTTAGTTCAGATCCAAGGATCTTTGGTCAATCTTGGAACAACCAGAAAACATAAAATGGTATGGATCAAACATCTTACTGCTAAGCATGCATTTATTTGCCGGTTGTTTTGCCATCGATGCCCAACCAAGGATAGATTGATGGATTTGGGGGCTCCATGTGGATCCAAGGTGCTTGCTCTGCAACACTATTACTGGATCCAGGAACCATCATTTCTTCGAATACCACGTCACTCAATCTAACTTTCGAACCAACATACGTGCAGCGTTGCAGTCTACTGATCCCCTCTTTTCATATAAGACAATGGTCAAGAATATTTTTTGTATTGCAAAATTCTACAAGGCCACACATATATATAATACTCCTAAGAACAATCTAGTACATGATAATAATGATACATAATAAAATCTAGTCTAACATAAAATAAATAGTTTGTAAAATTCTAGGAACACAAATTACCAAGCTTTGAACACACATTTCTAAATATCCTTTAACATGCCCCCGCAAGATCGGGCACGGGTGAGAGACCGATCTTGGTATGAACTAGTTCAAATCGAGTCTTCGGAATAGCCTTGGTCAGAGCGTCGACGAGTTGATTAGCCGAAGATACATGAACGACGCGAAGTTTCTTAGCTTGGATGAGACCACGAATAAAGTGGTAGTCAATGGCGACGTGTTTCATTCGGGAATGAAAGACCAGATTGGCCGAAAGGTAAGTAGCACCCACATTGTCGCAGTAGATAACAGGGCAAGTTGGCGAAGGAAAACCAAGTTCAGATAGCAGCGAGACAACCCATTGTACTTCAGAGGCAGTGGTAGAGACAGATTTATACTCAGCTTCCGTGGAGGATTTGGCCACAAAGCGCTGCTTTTTGGAGGACCAATAAACAAGATGACGACCCAAGTAAACAATGTTGGCACTGGTGGAGCCAAAATCATCACGATCGCCGCCCCAATCGGCATCAGAGAAGACATGAAGAGTTGAAGAATTCGAATATGAGAAGAAGAGACCCATGTTTCGAATGCCACCAACATACCGAAGTATCCGTTTAACGGCCTGCCAATGTTCCGAGGTAGGAGAGTGCATATACTGAGAGAGTTTATTAACAGCATATGCGATGTCGGGGCATGTGAAGAGAAGGTACTGCAAGCTGCCGAGGATTTGCCGATACTATGTCGGATCAGCTAAAGGAGAGCCAGAGTTGTTGGAGAGGACATTGGTTGAAGCTAACGGTGTCAGAACTGGTTTCGCAGCAGCCATATTATGTCGAGACAAAAAATCGGATGTGTAACGGGGCTGAGTAAGATGAAGACCATGGGCTGTGCGAGTGACCTCGACACCAAGAAAGTACGAGAGATCACCGAGGTCTTTAAGAGAGAATCGAGCTGCAATGTGAGCAATAAAAAACTAGACAGTCGCCGTATCATTTCTGGTACAATGATATCGTCGACATAGACGAAAAGATAAATGATGGTGCTACCTTGACGGAGAATGAATAGCGACGAATGTGAGAGAGAGCTGATGAAACCTGAATGCAGCAAGAACTGACGGAGTTCGTGAAACCAGGCCCGAGGAGCCTGTTTAAGCCCATATAACGCCTTGTGAAGTTTGCAGACAAATGAGGGACGATCATGATCAATAAACCCAACTGGTTGTACCATGAACACATCATCATGGAGAGTACCTTGAAGAAATGCATTATTAACGTCGAGCTGACGGAGAGGCCAGCCACGAGAGACGGTGATGCTGAGAATGACGCGGATGGTGGCATGCTTAACCACAGGGCTGAAAGTCTCAGTGTAGTCGACACCGGGACGTTGATGAAAATCTTTAGCGACCAACTGAGCTTTGAACCTGTCAATAGAGCCATCAGAATGTCGTTTAGTACGAAATACCCATTTACATCCCACAACATTATAAGCCGGGTTAGGAGGAATGAGACTCCATGTTCCATTCCGAACCAGTGCGTTGAACTCTTCAGACATGGCGGAGCGCCATCGAGGATCTTTCATAGCCTGCGATACACAAGTGGGTTTAGTTTCGAGTGAAGAAGAAAGAGAGGTTGAGAGGGAGACTTTCGTGTTTGGTTTGAAAATCTGGTTTTTGGATCTTGTTGTCATCGGGTGAAAGTTAGTAAGAGATGAAGAAGGAGCAGAGGGTTGGTTAACAACAGGCGGAGGAGAAAGTTCTTGGGACGGTATATCAGGAGAAGGTGAAGCATTGGGGAAGTCTGACGGTTGAGCCGATGATAAAGGCTGGGTAGGTTCGGTCGAGGAAGCAACAGGGGCAGGTGCTCGTGACGGCAGAGTAGGAGTGGGCCAACATGGAATGAGAGAAGATGACGACATAACAAGGGAGGACGTAGGAAGAGATGAAACAGAACCGGAGGACTCAGAGAACAGACGGGGAACCGAAAATTCAGACTCGACAAATATAACATGACGAGAGACGAAATGCGTGAGGAAGAAACATGAAAACAAAGAAATGCACTCTGCGAAAGAGAGTAGCCGACAAAAAACATAAGGAGATGACCGAGACTGAAGTTTATGAGATGAGTAAGGACGAAGCCAAGGAAAGCAAAGACAACCGAAAACACGAAGTTTGGTGTAGTTCGGAGAAACGTTATATATGGCCTCAAAGGGAGAACGAAATGAGAGGACAAAAGTTTGCAGCCGATTAATAAGGTACACAGCTGCCGGAAAAGCAAGACTCCAGTATTTAGAGGGGATTGACGAGTGAGTCAGGAGCGTGAGTCCGGTTTCCACAAAATGGCGATGTTTCCGTTCGGAAATACCATTGTGTTCCGGTGTATGAGGAGGTGTTGTGTAATGAGAGATTCCACTAACAGAGAGAAAGTTCTTAAGAGCAACATATTCTCCGCGTTATCGGAATAAAGCGACATAAGTTTGGAGTGAAACCGAGTCTCAACAAGGGACTTGAACGTGATAAAGATATCAGATACATGGGATTTACGTTTAAGGGGATAGAGCCAGGTGTAGCGGGTGAAATGATCAATGAAGATAACATAATATCCATAACCGTCGAAAGACTCAATAGGAGACATCCACACATCCGAGAAAACGACTTCAAGAGGATGTGAAGACTGACTAGAGGAAGAGAAAAATGGCAATTTGTGACTCTTATTGATAGAGCATGACTCACAATGGAAAGACAGACTCGAAGACGAAGACAAAGGCAAGGAAAGCCGACACAAAACTTTATTAAGAATTTCAATCGAAGGGTGACCAAGCCTGGAATGCCAAGCAGACACCGTCGATTTGACACTGGAAAATGCAGAAACAGAGGACAAGGAATGAGACGAAAGAGTTGGCCACTCGTACATGCCATTATGGAGCTATCCTTGGACTAGGATAGCCCCCGTTGTTCGATCCTTGACCTGAAAACAGTGGGAGAAAAATTCAACAGATACATCATTAGAGCGACACAGTTGATGAATGGAAACAAGGTTTTATGAATTGCAGGAACAAGAAAACATTATGGAGAGAAAAGGGTCGAGAAAAGGTAGGAAGATGAATGAAACCTGAGTGTGTAATCGCGAGGCCAGAGCCATCCCCGACAACAACTTCGTCGGTGCCTGAATAAGGAGAGTGCATCAAGAGATTGTCGAAATCAGCAGTGATGTGGTGGGATGCGCCAGAGTCCAAGATCCATGACTGAGAAGCAGAGCCGGATAGAGCAGCTGTGTTGGCGTTGGGTTGCCAAGAAGGCCGGCGAGAATCAGATGGTATCGGAGAGGGCAGTATACCAGGTTGATATCGGAGAAGGCGGCAGAAGCGAGCGTTGTGGCCTTGAGTGCCACAGAGCTGGCATTTACCGATATAGCCACGGCCCGAGGAAGAGCGAGAACCACGGGATGCATAAGGAGGGCGAGAGCTGCCGCGCCAGAGGGAGCGAGACTTGTGTTGGGCAACATTTGCCGTGATAGGAAAATCTGAAGTGACAGACTGTGAGGCAGAGATGTCGACTTCGTGATTCAACAGCTTCTCGTGAAGCTCAATGAAGGACATGGGTGAGTCCTTAGCATGGACAACATCTTTGACAGGTTTGAAATCATCGCCGAGACCAGCAAGGATGAAATCGAGTAGATCTTCGTGGTCCAAGGGCTTGCCGAGAAGAGAAAGCTCATCCGCTTTCACTTTGAAGAAGTGCATATATTCATCGATGCTTTTGGTGCCTTTGGTGAAGCGACAGAGTTGATCCTTGATCTGTTTGAGATGTCCGCGACTTGATCGACCATATGTAGTGGTAAATGTTTGCCAAGCATCACCGGAGGAAGCGGCAGAAGCGATCAGTGCCTGACATGAAGGAGAGACCGAGGCGAGAACAGAAGAGAATACCAGACGGTCTTGGCGGAACCAGGGACCATACTTTGGATTGACAACGACCGTATTGTCGACAGAGAGAGTGGCCGGTTGATTGTTTGCGGGATCCAGAAAGTAGTCAAGGTTGTACCCTTGCAGAAGAGCTCGAATTTGAACACTCCAGGTGATGTAGTTCATGGTTGTGAGCTTAGAGACGTAGGAGACTTTGATATTGAGAAGAAGATTGGCAGTGCTACTAGAATCATAGGGGAAAACGGTGTCGCTCGGAATGTCAGAGGAGATTGAAGATGAGTTTTCAGCGGCCATGATCGAGGGGAAGAAGAACGATGAAGATGGCGTTGAGGTTTGAAAGAAAAACGTCGATTAGACGATTTCGAGCTCTGATACCATATAAGACAATGGTCAAGAATATTTTTTGTATTACAAAATTCTACAAGGCCACACATATATATACTACTCCTAAGAACAATCTAGTACATGATAATAATGATACATAATAAAATGCGTGACAAAAAATGCGTGAGAAAGATGACCGAGACTGAAGGCGTTCTCTTCCTCTATTCAGTCTTCACACCTTCTTGATATAAAATAGCATATAAGTATATGAACTATAAAACTTCCATATAAATATCTTAATTTTTTAAAAATCCTATATAATATCTAGATTTTTGGAAAAAAAAGTTAAATAAACCCAAAATCTGTTAATAACGTTGACTATTATTTGAAAAATACCTGAAATACCTGAGTTTTGTGTTTATTTGAATTTTTATTAAAAGTATAGGTATTTATATAAAATTTTAAAAAAATGAGATATTTATACGAAAGTTTTATAGTTGAGATATTTATTTAAGATTTTTGTAAAAAATTAATTATTTATATAAGATTTTTATTTTTTTAATTAGTTGTTTTTAGATCATTAAATTGCATACTAACTTTTAAATTACATTTTAACGATATGATTTTAATTTATTTTTCTTTGCTTGGCCACTCATATTGCGAATTTAATTATTCAATTAGTTGAGAATTGCACCCACCAAAAAAAAAATGTTCAAAATTACATATACAGAATCTGTCCTCTGCTTAGCGCGCGGGAGAGAAAAAATGTATTGTTATCCAGCAAAGAGCAGCAGAGTGGCGCCCTGTGTCTCTCTGCTTTTCTCAGCGGGGAATTTCATCAAACACCTTCGCTTCGCGAGATCCGTAGCGTTTCTTCCATGGCAAATCCACACAAATTCCTCTGTAAGCACGGGAGCCTCTTGTTTTAAGACCCTAAGTTCAACTCAACAGGACCAGATTCATCTCTACGTCGATACCCTTCTCCAATGGAACCAGGTCTCTCTCTCTCTCTCTCCCTTCCTCTCTCTCTCTCTCTATCGCCTCTGAAAGTGCATCTGCAGTCCCTGCTTGATGGGTCTGATTATGAATTTTGAGGAAATGTTGGAAGCTATAAAAGTGACCGTTTTGTGGAACCATGTTGGAGGCTTTAAACTTTTCGATTAATATCACTTCTGTGCTTTCTGGGTTGCTGTTTTTTTTTGTTCTGGATAAAATTTACGTCTTGGCTTTATGTTCCCACTTCAGATTTGTTCACGATTTCGCATAGCTTTTTGTTGTATGCTTTGCGCATAACCAAAGCGAAATCTTCACCTAAATTGTCAGGAAGATAAACTTTTCATGTTACCTCTAGGAAGCTGTAGATGTTTTACCTCTTCGATAGCTTAGATTTTATTGTTTCACAGTGATGATTATACTTGTTTCAGCTGCTGAAATGGGTTTAAAAGTTTCGCTATGGATGTGCAGAAAATGAACCTTACAGCTGTGAAAAACTCAGAGGAAGTAATGGAGAGGCATATTGAAGATTCTCTTTCGATTTTGCCACCTATAAAGAGTTGTTACACCTTGCACTGTAATGCTTCGTTCGATAGCATCAATTTGATCGATGTGGGAAGCGGCGCCGGTCTTCCTGGGCTGGTAATAGCCATTGCTTGCCCAGGTTCATGGATTTTCCTTATCCTTTTCTGGTCGAAAAATGCATTGATTTGTTGCTCTGATTCTCAAGTTCTATCCATGTTATAGTGTTCAGAATAGAGTTTTTATTTACTGTAAATAGCTGGAAATTAAAACGACTTCTTTTATTCAGATTGGAGGGTCACACTCATGGAGTCTATAAACAAGCGGTGTGTTTTCTTGGAGCATGTGGTTAATGTCACTGGGATTTCAAATGTTCAAATCTTAAGAGGAAGAGCCGAGGTATGGTTTTAACCCTCGTTTCTTTCCTCACCCGAATTTTCAAAATCATCGTTTGTAGGTTAGATTGTTTTGTGATTTTGTATATGTGAGAGGCCTGGTTATTGTTTCTTGGTTTTTCAATGCATATAAAACCTCAATCTTTACAAATTTCTGCTTTTTTACCGTGCGAGCAAAATTGTCCAAAGACAAAATGGATTAGCAGTTTAGCACTAGTTTTTTTTTCCGCCATTGGTGGACTCGTAAGAAGCTTGCTGTTTTTCTTGTTGGTTCCATCAAGTGTTGTCATAAATCTGATCATATTCATCGGTTGTATGTGCATAAATCTGGAAAATTGGAAGAATTATAGGTGAAGGACAACTAACCTTGATATGACATAAAAAGGTTGGTCTTTCCCTTCAAAGAGGCAACTTGGAAAATCATTAATCCAAGATGTGATCTTAAAATAACATAAAAACTCCATTGCATGTCTATCTCATATCGTTTAAAGATAGTTAGCTCTCTATCATATACATATGCAATGCATGTAACAGCTTAGAGACTTCCCAAACGGGACAAACTGATGACTTATTTCTGCTGTCGTTTCTATTTCTATTGTTGAATATTTTCCACACTTTTTTTTGTATGAATTTCCAGTAATGTAAGTGTAAATTATATTCCCCAAATCTTGTCATAGAACAGAATTTGGGGCACGATGCTATGTACAGAGAGAAGTTTGATGTAGCTATCGCTAGAGCTGTTGCGGAGATGAGAGTTTTAGGTATCTATTACAAGTTTCTAGCACTGCATTTGTGGAACCATGTTGCTTACATGTGCTCAAGTTGATCTGATTTTTTTTTTAATTATTTACAGCCGAGTATTGCCTTCCTTTGGTCAGGGTCGGCGGGTTATTTGTAGCTGCCAAGGGTCATGATCCTAAGGTCTGAGAGTATATCATTTTGTTTTGTGTTTAGCAGGCCTTATGGTGTTTATTTATAACAGGTTATGAGTATTCCGACAAGAAATTGCTTTCTTGCTGTTTCTGTGTGCATTTTTCTAGTTCGTTCTAGTATTTTTGGTATACATCTGTATGGAACTTTATAAGCTAAAGTTGTATGGATTTCTCAAACAGGAGGAGGTCCAAAATGCAGAAAAAGCAGTTCGTTTTATGGGCGGTTCCATATTACAAATTTGCCCAGGTTTGTTTCTTAGACCTTATTAAGGTTACCTTAAATAATTTCTATCTCAATGTCATCTGATGACATATTATAGCCTCATGTATAGTACAGCAATGATTAAAAATTCTCTGCGTCTGACCAAATCAATGTCCTGACATCTTTTTCTTGAGGAAAAAAAAACACATTGTTTTAAGGTTTTGTTAAGAGGTTAGAGAATTGGTCTGGTGGAGTTGTCAATGAAAGGTCATCATACCTAAGACCAAGTAGTTTTCTTGGTAATAAGATGTTGAGTTGGACTATAATTTGGTTTAACTTGCAAAATCTAGGGTGTGCTGTAGAAAATCAGAGAAAACAGGCAAAATTGTGTGTGAATGGTTAAAATTTTTAACTTGGTGCTTAAATACTGGAAACTTTGACGACATTTTAGGAGCAAGAAGTTGAAGAACGTAGCATAGCCCAGCATGAATTTGTACTGGTGTATTCTTCAACTTTTTAATAATGGGATGCCCATATATACTTAGCTCAGGGTTGCGAACTTTTCCGTTTTTAATCCCTTCCTCCGGACATGACTGTAGTAAGGATCTTAGAGTTTTAGCGAGCACTAACATTTAGCAGCCGTTAACTGATTCTATCCATGAGTTAGTTTCGGGAATAGAGTTATTTTATGGTAAAAAAAAAGTAATCCAACGCTTGCAAGATTTCTCTTTCAAGAATTTTCACATGCTATTTCTCCGATAGCACTGTGAGACTCAGAGGATGAAGCATGAAGTGGAGAGAAGCTGGTTCTTTAGGATTTCTTGTGTCATCAGCAAAGCTTCTGTTTCTTTGTTGTTATTTCTTCTCATGTTAACTTATCATTATAAGAAACTGGACTGCTTAGTTTTATAGATCATGCACATGACTGTAGTGGCTAATGATAGCCATGATGAGCTGAGGTACAAAAACCGAGCTCGAGGGTTGTGTACTGATGATAACATCCACTACATGTTTTTGGGGTCTATCACGATTTAGTTCGTTGAGGATAGCTGTAGTTATATCGTTGGGTTATTAAATCATCAACTTCTTGAAAGAGAATTCTCGGATTCTCTTTATGTTTCTTCTTAAAATAAAAGTTCACTTATTCTTCGTTCTATGCAGTGGAATCACACAGCCCGTATGGACAGAGAACCGCCGTCATTTCCCTGAAACATGGTCCGACTCCACAGAAGTATCCCCGTGATCCAGGTACACCAGCAAAAGCGCCTCTTTAAATCATCACCCTTCTCTCCATCGTGGTTTCGTTAATGGTATTGATGGTCTTCGTGCTATTCTCAGTTTTCGAGTTTTTTTCCCTTTCTTTCCCTGGTTAATATCTAAAGCATAGAAGATCTGAAGAATCTGTGTAGATATTTCACCGTACCTAACTTCTCCATTTGGGCATTAGTTAAACAGCTCATTCTTTTGAAAGATTGAGTAGATAATAGTATCTTCAGCAAGAAGGGATGGGATATATATATATATATTCTGAGGTAAGATTTCATATGACATCACAAGGCCATGACATCGGGTAAGTGCTTATCTTTTGATTCCCTTTATTATTCTTTTCTTGATCTTGATCTGTCTCCTGTCCAAATTCACACACCTAAAAGCTTTGATTGCCTGGGATTGGGATCTGCTTTATGCTTTCCTTGATCCTCTCCTTTGTATTTCCGTGATAGTTTATTAAACCCTTTTTCTCAAAGGCGAACCACACGCCGAAGCCTCTGTTTTCCTTTTGTAAATCCAGCCCATGTCTTAGGGGGGGTTCAAATAAACTAATTTTGTATCCAACTCATGGGATTGATTCACCAACTTGTATTTGCTAGATTTGGTCAGTCCAAATTGATAGGAATGTGATATTTGGGATTGCAATAAACGGGTAGAAAATTCCTGCAGTTGCTTTGGAGCCTATGGTAGGGACGATCTTCTCACCTTTATCCTGACAGCATTGAGACAATTTTGCTGGTTATTGTCTCCGTAGTGCTTATTAGAGTAAGATATTAAAATGGGCATCATCCTTATGGTTAATAATCTAAATATAGTATGATACAAATTTCATAGAAAGCCTCAAATATTATTAGTCCCATGCCCAATAATAGAGTACAAACTACAAAGCTATAATGCTTAGCTAGGCTGTATTTCCAACTCTTGAGTGCTTATATCTGTGATCCACCACTTCAATCATCCGACTCAAACCACAACACCTGAACTCAAATCCGACGGTCAGATGAGGACCCAATTTATGGATGCCGACCCATATGATTGGGTATCTGAAATTCGGGTATTTTTGTGCATCCTGTTCAGGTATTTTTGGATACAATTAAAATTATATAGAAGAAGATGGGAATCGACAACGGTCCATAGAAATTCCACGAATAAAATTTATATGATTCGTCGTCATTGGAGCTCAACTTCTGTTCACCTTTCAATCTCCTTCAAACCCGAGAAAAGGAAAACGAAACAAGACAGAGAAAACCCAAGACGCCTCTTAGATGATAAGCTTGACCAAATCTCCCCAAAACCATTAGACGAACCAAGCTCAACTTCTATAAGGGTGGAACCAAAACCGTCCAGATCTTAATGTCACAGTCCAAACCTCCACTGTAAATGAGGTACGATTCCTCAGACGCCGCTCCGCTTAAGCACTTAACCGGTCCTTTATGCCCTTCCAAAACTGCCAAACACGAACAGTCTCTGGCCGAGCTTCTCCATATCCTCACCGTCTTGTCTGCGGAACCACTGCAAAGGATGTCCAAAACAATGGCTAAGCAAAGAATAGACTCTGTATGCCCTCTTAGTACACCTGCAACCACAATCTCTCCATCATTATCTCTTTCCCACACGAAAACCGATCCGTCACATGCTCCGGAGAATAAAAGAGAGGCATTGGAGCTTAACGCTAATGCGTTGATTCCTGAATTGTGCTTCGAGAGGGTAGAAACCAGCGAATGCTTCTTCTCCTCGACGTGTTTCCTCCATATCTTTATGGTCCTATCTGCGGAGCCACTGTATATATCTCCATCATCAGCTATGGCTAACGCGTTTACCGCATCATCATGAGCGTTCGTGATGGATTCGAGGCATTTACAGTCGCTGGTCCGCCATATCTTGAGGGTCCGATCCCACGAGACCGAGTACAGTAACGCTCCATCTCTTGATAAGGCTAAACCCGAAACAGCGTCAACATGGTGAACCCACGTAGATTTCTTGTGCCTTCGTACCTGAACTTGGTTCTTGGGCATCAAACACTTCGCGAAACGGTCTCCGAGAGTTGGCAAGGTCGCTAGACGCATGTAACGTTTACTGCTGCCACCGTTGTTTCCATCGGATTCTTCGTCGTTGATCCTCCATACACGTATCTTATGGTCCTGATGAGCAGTGAAGAGTCTATCTTCCAAAACTACCAAAGACTTTACTGCTCCTCCTCCCGGTGGTGTGATCAGATTGCTGCGGGAGACTTCGTTCTCGCTGTCCAGAAGCGTTTTAACGCTCCACAATTTTACATCGCCATCGAAAAACCCTGCGTATAACCTCTTCCCCGAAAGCGCCAGAGACGATATATACGACGCGTGACCAGTGAGAGTGGTGAGGCATTCATGAAGAAAACTAAACGACGATGAATCAGATTCGGCAAGGTAACCGCCGTGGCCGAGACTTTCGCGTGGTTGCATGATTTGTTTTCTGGTTATGAAAGATTCGGCGCGGAAACAATGATGTCCGAAGAGAGAACTCTACATGTCCTTGAAGGGCATATATAAAAAGAGGATCGTTAATATGATGTCCGAAGAGAGATGGAAGTGTTGGGGGAAACTAATCGTGGAGGCAACAAAGGACCCAACTTATACTGTTCTAAAATTCTATCGTTGAAGTGGACTTTGTACATGGATGGAGCTTGCGTAAATTTGGGACCCTTGTCTTCCTCTTTTTTTTTTTTTTTCCTGGATGAAATTGTTTTGCATTGGACCTTGTATGAAGATGAAGCTTCTGCACTTGTGAGAAAGATAATCCAAACTTGTATAATTCAACCGGTAAAATCGGATACAAGAGTGTATGTTATGTCCCGAGTTTGAAACTTAAATTTGAAAAAACAGCATATAATTCAAATTATAAATTGATTTCTGACTCTGATCGACTGGATGTGGTTTAAGAAAAAAATAGAAAAAGATTAATAATATGATTTTTTTTCTATTTTTTCGTGAGGGAATGGGAGAGAATGGAAACATGCCTTTCTTCCTTTACATGATCTTCTTTTGCTGGGGTTTTTTTTTTTTTGGGACACTAAAGTAGAAGAAAAAGTAAGAGATGATCTTTGTATAACAAGAGTTGCTTTATTTATTTATTTTGGAGAAATAAAATATTATATAAGATATTTTGGATGCTAATGTCACAGCCTTATATTATACTTGTAGATTCAGCTACAAAATCACCTTGAGGTGTTGCCAAACCAAATGCTTCACTGTTGTTTCTTTTTTATTATAGAGAAAAGTTTAACAAATCAACTCGCCACAGCTCCGAGTTATGACAAGCCACCTCGACGAGTCACGTGGTGATTTATAATCTGAGATTCGTTGTTTAAAATTATAATTTTAAATATATTTTATAAAAAAATAATATTTAAATTTAATTTTTATTGACTATATATATATATATATTTAAGTTTACTATTTTAATATTTAAATTTATATCAAAATATTGTTTATTGGTATTTTTATAATATAAAAATAATATTTTTTTATCACGAATTTACTCGTTTAACTCGTGATATAGGCGAGTCGAATTGAACCGGGTTTTTTTTACGTGTTTGAAAACTAATTTAACACAAAGAATCAATTCTTTTCGATTCGATTTGAGTCGAACCGAACTAGTTCGTTGGACACCCGTTAGTATTAGGACTCCTTATTTTGGTTCTACTATACAAAATCAAATCAAATTGAATAATACATAATAACCATATACATATAAACTATGTATAAAAATCGATAACATAAAGTTTTCTTAATTATTATAATTGAATAAACAACAAAAAAGTAACCCAAGATTAACAGGCCAGTTAGATAAATATATTTTAGTGTTTAAAATAATAAATATATTTCTAAATGCTGAAGTTATTGGAAAATGTTCAATTCTACGAACACATTAATGTACTTAATAATAAGTTTAAAAAAGGGAGTTAGGACTATCCAAAACTTTTTTATTTTTTGGGTAAGCTGTCCAAAACCTCGAAAAGCTGTCAATTTATTATTCTTTCCGTTTAATTTTAAGATGAAACAATTTTTTGGTTTTAAAACAATTGACGCTTTTAGATTTCTTATATATATATATATATTTTTCTAAATTTACCTCTTACCATAATAGTAAAAATAATTCTGTATATTTCAAGATAATAATTCTCTACATATTAAAAAAAAAGTAATTTGGACATAATAAATTTTTTAATATGTGTGCTTAAAAGGAATACCTTTCAATAGAATTAATAATTCATTTGATTTCCTGTACATATGTGAAAATCCATATCATATTTTCTTTATATGTTAAATCAATGTTATTTCAAGATTTTCAGTCAACAACAAATTTAGTTTCTATTCGAAATAAATATAACATTGTACGTATAAAGAAGTTGATGTTTCTTAATCACTGAAGATATATAAATATTCGAATAAACATTTGGTAGTGAAAAAAATTTAATCCATTTGACTATCTGTATCACCAACATTTTCAATCACTTTTATAAGAATATATATTGTTCATATTAATGATAGAAAAAGTTAGAAAACACTGTAAATATACAAAATCTTAAGATGGTAATATATCGTTTATATACAGAATAAGAGTGAGATATAATCAAATAATAGTGTTATAAAATTGCATAATACACTACCAATTACCAAATACAACTTATTTGTTTATTTACGATTGTGCATACATTATATATTCACAACATAACGGGAAGTGTTGAACCTTATCTCAATTTGTTTATCTTCTCCAATAAAATCTATTTTGAGATTAAATGTAATCATCGTCACATGGACGAATTTTAAAATTGTAATTGTTATGTCAGTGTAGTTTAAATATGACGTAGTTTATAAAGTGAAGAGGCTTTATTTTGAAAATTTTGATATAAAAATCAAGTTGAATTTATATATATGAAACCGTATTACCTAACAACAAGTGGCAAGCTAAAGTTGTGCCTAGAATCCTACTGCCTATTCTATTCATTTAATATAATTTTTATTAGTTTGGGCCAACCTATTCATTCAATTATTAAATTAGGTTTCTGTGGCATGCATGCAATGCATCTCATTCATGATAAAATGTGTCACGAGTCATTATATGATATGAAATTCCGAGTCAGCGTTATATTCCAACTTTGGTTTATGATTCATAAGAAAAATCTTTAGTGAACAAAGAGAATCCATGGATGGAATGTCTACGTACAACAGTGTGTGTAAAAATGCTGATGCCATGTGGTACAAAAACCATTAGGGAATGAAAGTTCATTCGATAATCATATGAACTATCAATTAATCGAAAAAGAAAGAAAAGAATGGGTCATCTAACGGCTCAAATAAGGAAAGAAAAATACTGTGGATTCATTTTTATACTTGGATATATTTATCTTAATCCTATTTTATATCGGTCTTTATGTTTTTAATCTTTTGAATAAATTTGAACTCCACTCCACAACAATTAACGGTTTTTATTCAAAGGTATTTATTTTACAAAAATGATTTCAAAATTTTAATTTTTTTTTATTTCATTCCAATAAACTCAAATTATTCTATGTGATCTCAGACTATAGAATCAAATATATATATATATATATATATATATATAACAACTACCAACCAAAACGATACTTTTGCAGATTAAGAAAAACCCAAAACACTGAAAAATTTCTACCGCCTAAAATCCAATATTAGATAGTTCAAAAGGTAAGGAAGAGAACAAAACTCCTTCTCAACCCGAATTCGAGTTCTCACCTGGTGAGAAGCATTCACATGGACTTCTCCAAAGATCCGATGAACTTCCGTATTATCACAAAAAAAATAATTCTACGACCTAAAAAGGCAATCTTATAGGGAATTTCAAAAACAAATAAATAGAAGATGGAGATTAAAATCAAAATATGCACATAATACGAAACGTATTCGGCGATTTGCACTTTTATAATTTCATTTTCTAACGATGATGACAATAAGTTCATTACAAAACGCCAAGTTTATATCTCAATAAAATATTATTTATTAGGTTGAGTCGGGGGAAGATGAAATCCTCCGCAAGAAAATATCGAAGTTCGGATCCCTATCCAACATGCTAATCCTCACATGACTCGAACCATACCCAAAGTGTTTTCCACTTCTTGTAAGAATCTTCTTATCTCTCATGAGCTTCTCGCAATCCTCTATCCCTTCTTCGCACTTCAACCATGCAAAAGCTTCACAAAAACCATGTCCAAGATTAGGGTTTAGGGTTTTAAAATGATACAGCAATGGCGTTTTTTCTGCTTACCTGGTTGCGGTTCAAAGACCCGGCCGAGAAAATTGCAGGGTTGAGGGGAGAAATCAGGCACGCTGAATCGCTTACTCTTCGTCACCGCTTCTCTGAATAGCTTCCACCTCTCCGACATGGCATCATAGCTGTGCTCGAAGAAGGATTTGGCTGTCGCATCTCGGGACCTTTCGCAGCTGTCTGAAACAAACTTCATCACCTTGGCTGCCCGAAGCTGCGAGTCCTTTGAAACCCCGATAGTGTTGATCTCTATGAACTTTGTCATTTTCTTCGCGATCTCTCTGTCTTTCACGAGACCCCATCTGCAAAAAATATGCGAGCAGAAGAATTCAGACATCGCAAAGGTTAAGACACAAGTCTGTTCTCACCCCATAGGTAAGAAAAAAAACACAAATGAAACCCCCTAAAAGACGTAAGATTTTACCCAATGCGCATCCCCGCATGGCCCGTGCTCTTAGAGACAGTGAAAAGCATCAACTCGTGATCAAGAACGGAAGTTATCGGCGTATACTGCGGCCAGTAATACGCAAGATCATGGATCAGTATGCCCTTACTACGGTTCACCACAGATTGCCTCACGAACCCATCAGGATTGTTCGGAGACGTAACGAGTTCAATGTAAGGGCCCTCTTCCCTATATGACTTTGCATCTCCAGCCCATTTGTATAAACTGGATTTGAGGCAGTCCGTAATCAATGGGTACGACTGCACAAAATCGTGTAACGGAAACAAACAATGTTACTATTGAAAGGAAGAACACAAGTGATGAAGTGAAGGTCTCGGGTTATGAGTATAAGTGTTCCCAAAAGCAACTCTATTATTGCCTAGTGTGGGTCAGAAAAAAAAAACTCGAAATCTTAGCAACGTTTTTTTTTAATAACTGAGTATCCTGGGCCGGAGCCCAGACTAATCTCGGGGCCGGGAGTCAGCCATGTGCTTTGAATTATACGCTCCCTCCCCAACTTGAGGCTCGAACTCCGGGCAGGACATATGCTTTGCGTCCCCGTTTTACCGGTTGAGCTACCCAAGTTGGGTAGATCTTAGCAATGTTGCCCATCATGGTGCGGTATTTGCAAGGAACACATGAACTTTGAAAATGAAAACAACGGAAAGTGACAACATGAGCAAGAAATCGACAAATGTGAGAAGACTCACACTATAAAAGGGGGTGGCTGAGACGACATTTATTGGTCCAGATTCATCGCGGGGAGACAGAGCATAAAGGGCTGCCTGATACAACTGTGTTGAACCCGTGCCAACAACAATGTAGCGATCCTGCGTTACAGCGTTTCCTACGATACGGTGCAGCCTCACAATCTCTTTGGCAAGCTCTGGCTCCAGAAACCAACACAGATTGCTTACGTCGGAAAAATAGCTCAGAGATTGCCACCCGGGAATCACGATGGTCGTCTCATCACCCCGTTGCATCCAATATCTCTCATACATAGTTGGATCACCGCTACATTCACATAACTTTGTAAACTGAATACAAAGTTGTATCGAATGATCAAACACATTTCATCACAGTTCACCGTTCTTGATTCACAATGAAAGTACATGGAAATTCGATTCGTAGTATCCATTTCACATATCCAAGCACATATCTAATTTGCAAACAGTTACAGATTATTAGATTCAGTGATGTTACAGGGAAGTCTTCCAAGATACAAGACCTTATATAGATTTTTGAAAAAACATATGCAAGTTGATATGGGTACTGTAATGCATGAGAGCTGAGACTAGAAATAAAGAACTGGTGGGTCCTTCCTTCTTATGGCAGGCATAAAAATAGGAAAAATGAAAAAAGATTCTAAGCAACCAATCCGTTCTGTACAACGTTTTATATTAGTTGCATTTGTTTCCCCACAAGAAAACTAAGTCAAGAACACATTTTTTTTTTATCATAGATACAATTTGAAGGGCTGGCTTGCCTCAGCACTAAGCTCGCTTATCATGGAGTTTGAAGTCACGGGTTCAAAACAACCTCTATGCATAAAAATCAGGGTTAAGGCTGTCTAGTATATTCTTTCCCAACACCCCACGAGGTGGGGATCCGAATTGGGTTGATCCTTGCCATTTACATATGCATTCCACTGTAATCCCTCTATGCTCAACCAACTTAATTATAAAACAAAAAAACAGGTAAAGATTTATAACAGGTTTGAGATTTGAATATACAGAAATATAGATCACAAGATCAAGCAAACCACCAATCACTACCAAATTAGTCCTTTAGATTCTCTCAAAGGACAAAAGGGATGGGTTACATGTAATGTTTGTGTCCACCTAAACCACCAAAGTGTGGCCCTTTCCTAAATGAAAACAAAAAACACCTACTCAAAAGCTATGAGATTCAACACCTTTCTTTCCACTTTTTTTCCCCTTTTTAACTTTTTTTTTTTAATACAATGGAGAAAATCAAAGAGGAGTCACTTTAATCAAATATTAAGAACAAGAACAAGAACAAGAACAAGAACAAGAGCTTTAACCCATGGAGCTTAGTTCCAAACTTTGCACTATACCGAAAAGTTCCACTTTCTTTGAGCAGGTCAAGAGCTTTAACTCATTGGCTCTCAATAACTATATAAATATGAATTGATCACTTCTAGTAAGGAGTCATTGGCCTACAAGAAAAAGGAAAATCACCACCGCCCTTCAACCTACAACGTTCCACATACCAAATCTAAATAGAAACGTGTCTTCTATCTTTAATTTAACAATGAGTGTGGCCCATTTCGAATTTATTTTATACCTTGACAAGAATTCCTAACTTGCTTTGTCAAACATTTATTAGCAATTAAAGCCTCAAGAACAAATGGACCACACACCCACGATCCTTATGGTGGCCATGATCTTCTTTGCATATTTTATGTGAAGATTCATGGAGACTGCTTTGACTAATCCTCGTTATGCATAAACAAAGAGTTTACCATGATAAAGTAGAGGCTAATGGGAATGCTAAAGCTAACGGCGCACGTTAAGGAAATAACATCAGCATACACAGGACTAAGACAGAATCACAGCGCCTAATAAAGAAATACACAAGTCAAGGGATCAAACACAACAAAAGCATCACAAATTCACCACCCTTCTTTTTTTTAGTGCAGATTCTTTTATTCTTTTTATAGAAATGGCTGACCTTTCAGCTCCCTCGCCCATCACTACTTGTTTACTCAAGCCATGCTTTGCTATTCAAAATGACCCTTGTGCCCTTTCCCCAGATACTGCAAATGCTTAATCTCGGGGATGATATGCCATTACAGCTCATAATAAGATGTTTTCTTTTTAAAACCAATCCATGATTCTTCATTAAACCACTCAAGCTTCAGGAACTTCAGTGCAAATTCTTAGTTGACATGCCATTATTCATTGACTTCAATGCAAATTCATTCAGACAAAAACCCAAGAAAGAGTGAATAAATAATCAAAATCAAAATCTAACCAACCCGCAATCATTGACTCAAACTTATTGTCGAATTCCATTCAGTATCCAATTCTGCATGTGTTAGATTACTTAGGGAGGAAGAGGAAACAGTTTTTCTGCTCGGAACAAACAGAACAGAGGATCAAAAGGGTGAAAACTTACTGATCAAGATTGATGATTCTGTCGTCGTCTTCTTGAACTCCATTTCCGTCGAATGATAACGACGACGAAGATTCTGAGATTGGTGAAGACGCTGGCTTATGGGCCCAGAAACTTCCACTGTCTCCGTCACCATTCAAAACCTTGAGAATCAAACTCAAGTTCATGGCCAATGACAGGACAAGCATGTTCCTCCACGACAAAACCTTCAGAATCTTACACATTTTCCCTCTCCACGAAAAGACCCAACACCCAGAAGAACAGAACCCAGGAGAAGAGTGAAGGGCTAAAAGAGAGAATGTTTCTTTATTCGACGAAATTGAGGGAAGAAAGGAAAGAAGACAAGTGGGAGAAGTAGCTTTCAAAGTGTGAAGAATGGGGTTGTGAAGAGGCTTAAGAATCCCAGAAGATTTTGAATGGTCCCCTTCGGCTTTTCTCACGCATGAAAGTTGCAATCTTTTTTTCTTGAAGACGCTGCAAGCGGAAAACCCCACAAAACAGTTAGCCAAATTCGTTAACTATACAAAGAATGAGGAAAAATACAAGAAAATTTCAAGTCTTTGAGCCATGCAAAACTACAAATAGAGGAGCATCAATCCGAGAAACACACCAAAAGTTTTGCGCCCTGTTTAGAAGCCGAGAAAATCTCCCCGATTAGCACGAAGGAACGTATCAATGGGGGGCGGGGCGGGGCGGGACGGGACGGAGAGAGACGGGTTAACGAAAAACGAACAACTCTCTTGCAGCTTTTTCTTCTACTTTCTCCGCGAAAGAAAATATTTTCCGGGAAAGCATGGAAAATTTCCCTCGCTCTGTTTCTGCGTCAAAGCTCTCAGCTTTTTTTTTTTTTTTTTTTTTTT